GTACCAATAGTATTTTTGTAGTAAAATAGGTTGTACTTAGTTAATTTTATATTTTGATTAAAATATTAGGATGTACTTACATAGGCTGCTACCTCATGTGCAGCTCTATTGCAGTATCGTGGTGTACTTAAATTAATTTTAGGGTTCGTTTAGCTGCACTCAAATAAAATATCTTGATTATTTTAAAAGTTGTAGCCTTTTCACATCAGCTTTTAAAAGGTTTTTCAAGGCTACTTTCAAAAGGAGCAGAGATGAGCCCTAAAAGATTTTTTTTTTAATTTCCAAAATACCATCATTAATTTTTAAAAATGACACTGCCTCTACCTCCACCTCTACCTTCACCACCTCCACCAGCACCGCCACTACCACCATTTCCTCCTCCACCACCACAACCCCCACCTCCTCCTCCACCTCCACTACCAACACCACCACCACCACCAAGCTGCCACCGCCGCCATATCCTCCTCCTGCTAGTCCGCTACCATTACCACCACAACCACCACATCCTTCCTCCATATGCACCACCTCTACCTCCATCATCACTTCCACAACTAACACCACCTCCTTTTCAACCTCCACAACCACCACTACCATCTCCATCAATGCCACCACCATCACGCCTCCTTGTGGTAAAGTTTCCAGTGTCCAAGTTTGTGTGTACCCTTTAGCCACAAATCTTGCCTTGTATATCTCAATAGATCCATCAGCGTTGTGTTTTATAGTAAACACTCATCTACATCCGACAATCTTTTTTCCTTGTGGTAAAGTTTCCAATGTCCAAGTCTGATTCTTTCAAGAGCTTTCATCTCTTCCTTTATAGCTTGAACCCACTTAGGATCTTTCAATGCTTCAGCAACTTTGGTTGGGATATGAATAGCAGATAACTGATGCATAAAGGCCTTGAGTGGTTCAGACAAATTCTCAATGGATACATGATTTGCAATTGGATACTTTGATGTTTTGCCAATATTAGGTGAATAACGGTTTGGTGGCTTCCCACGATTTTTCCTGAAAGGTAATTGGTATCTAATAAATTTATCCTCTAGATTCATCTCGTTGTTCTATATTGTCTGTAGGTGTGGGACTCGGATTAGAAACATCTTCGCACAGGTCAGGTGGGTTAGGCAATTGATCACTGTGAATGGGGGATTGATCGCTTTCAGTAGAGAGCAATCTCGTGCTTTAGACTTGAGATGATTGATCGTCGGGTTTGGACGATCAATCGTTTTTGTACATAGGTGAATTTCTTCATTTTTCAAGTTGCTCTAATTCTGCTCTTCACCAGGCTCTGATACCATACTAAAATATGAAACCTAATATGAGAATATTTGTTTGTGGGAATTTTTTGTGTATCCTTCTCCTTGTAAGAGGTCATATTTATAATATAACGGAACTTTAATGGGCAAGTAAATAATAAATTCATATTTGTATTTACAGTAGGAAATCAGGAACTAAACTAAATCAATTACAATTATAATAGGAATTTTTGGTGTGGAAGGAAAATAAATCAATGGTCTAACACTCTCCACCCTTAAACCCCCTCGCTCTTTCATCTTTGGTCTCTCTCTAATTATCAAACCCATCACTGCGTTTCTTTACCTGCCGTACCGTGCTGCCGAAGTAAGCCGTCACGAAGAGCTCACTGCCCCCAACCCCACCGGGTAAAAGAGCTTCCTGCTGTTAGGTACTCTTCTGTTTTCTTCTGTGTTCTCTTTGTCACTGAAATTGAATTAAAAAAAAATTTCGGTTCATTGATCGCTGTTTAATGTTGTTTTTGTTTTCTTTGGGTTTATTTTGTTTTTTTATATGTCTGGAATTGAATTGACATTGACATTGAATTTTTCTGTGCTTGAAGAAGCTACCGTTTTCTCGTACCCATCACATTCATGTGAATTTCCCCACCAAGTAATTGCAGTCAGTCATTTAAGATATTTAAGAAAAAAGTGAAGAAGAAAAAAAACTAGAAACTTGGTTTTATTTTTCTAGTCTAAGAAGTAGAAAGTTCTATGATGCCAAGGGAAGTAATCATATAAAGGTGTGATGCAATTTAAATAACAGTTAAGAATATCTGTGAATCTCACAACCTATATCATATTTACTCTGTCCTGAACAATTACAGAAAGGTATGATAGATTGAGTTCTACTTTCAGTCTCTTTATTGCTGTTTGTGTCTGTACTGTATTTGCGTTTGAAAAGGTTGTGCCCCTCTTTAAGTGCTAGTTTTGTGACAGATGCTTTATTTTCATTTTATTTTTCTTTATTACTTAAAAAGGCTTTCTTACTTATTTCATGCCTTGGCAGAGTTTACAGACCTCATATCATCAGAGTCTAAAGATGCTTTTAGCAAAGAGGAGAAAAGAACAATAGAACGTGTGCGTATACTCAAGGCTCTATAGGTTTCTGATCAATCCATCTGAACATATATTTCAATGTCTATATTTGTTCTTGTTCTTTGAGTAGTCCTGTGTGTTGTTGTCCTAAATGGTGTTAAGTCCGTGCTGCATCTTTGCTTCCGTATTGTGGTTTATCATTTTGTAGTTGCAACTTGCATATATGTGTGTATCTTTTTACTTGCATTCCTCATCTGAAGTGAGAATTGGCATACATGATTGTGTGAATCATTCTTTCTATCATGCTATTGTCAATGGTGACTCCCTACTTTTGTGTAAAGGAGCAACTCAAGAATTATTCTGAATTTCAACAATTTATGATAGTTGTTGTGATTTGGTCTGTGTGGATCCTCAAAAGAGAGGCATACTAATCATTTACTGTTATTACAGAGAAAATAATATTTGTACTGCTGGCTTTACTGTTTAGTGGAGTTTGGCCAAGAGCATTGAGCAGAAACATACATGGGAAGGGATTTTGTACACGAGAAAACTTGCAATATAATATGTATTGGACAATAGGGTTTCTAATGTTCTGTTTGCGTCAGTACTTGTCCCTTAGTTTCTTTTCACTCTTTTAAATTCCTTTGAAATTATTCTTGTTCTAATTTGGTTTCTTCTGTTCAAATGAATATAGATGAGCAAAATATTGAATGAACAATACTGAAAAATTCTTTGGTAATCTTTCAAATTTGATTGTTTTTCTTTTTTAAATTGCTGTAATGTTGCATGTGGGTTGACAACGTGTCTCATCTTAATCACCACCATGTTTTTTTAAAACAAATGCAATTTAATTAGTTTTAGACTTGGGGTATTTTCATAATTGTAGTTTGCTGTGGCGCTAAATATGCAATTCTGTATTTAGTAACGGAGGTAATATAATTGACATTAAATTTTGATCATGTTGGTGAATGTACATGTAGAGGGTTCTTTAGCAGCCATGGGGGCTATTTGGTCCTCCGATACAAGTCCTGACTTGCTATCATCTGACTCAACGATTCCCACTGATTCTCATAAGGTTGACTCACCACCAGATTCATCAAATCCCAACATGTCCAATTCAGATTCTAAAACCCCAGACGACCAAACTCCAAAACATACTGTAGATCACCAATTGGATACCAAAACTCTAGAAGAAGAGAAGCATCAGGAAGATGAAGGCGCATTGGAAAAAGAAGAAGAGCAAGAGGAGGGAGAATGTGGCTTTTGCTTGTTCATGAAAGCTGGTGGGTGCAGGGAGAGTTTCATAGCTTGGGAAAAGTGCGCAGCGGAGTCTGAGATGAACGAAGAGGATGTTGCTGAAAAGTGCTTTGAGGTCACCGCGGCCTTGAAGAAGTGTATGCAGGCTCATCCAGATCACTATGCGCCCATATTGAGGCTTGAGAAGGCAGCTGAGGAGGAGACAGTTAAAGACAGTTTGGAAGAAGAAAAGGCTTCAAAGAGCTCGGAGCAAAATGCCACTTTGATCCATTCGAACCAGCATGGGAATTCTAGTGAAAAGCGAGACAGTTAAAGACAGTTTCGAATTTGCCTTGTCAATTTATTTATTTATTGATAGGAGCCTTGTCAATTAAAATAGTACTATGATCTGTACATTTTCTCATCTAATTCCTAGCATGGGCGGTAAATGAGATTTCCTAAACTCCACATTTTGGAACTGCTTTTCGTTGCTGATATGAAACTGTGGTTAGAGCCAATTGAGATGCATGACTGGTCAACATGTTTTTGCTAAGAGAGAAAATTACAATTATGAATCCCGAGCACAACCCAACCCTAAGTACTCATGTTATGAAGTTACGTCTTTGAATTTTCGGCCATGGTTTTATTTTTACAAAATTAGTGAAACACCCATTTCTAGACATGAAACTATAAATATACCCTACACTATTTAAAACATAGAAACACACCCAAAAAATACCCAAAACTGACAGCTGTTACATTTTTTAGTTTAATTACTTAAATGAAATACCTTTATTACCCATTTAGTATTAAATTAGTTTTTTTGAAAAAATTTGGGCCCTCTCTCTCTCTCTCTCTCTCTCTCTCTCTCTCTCCTTTCGCAGACACCAAGCCTAGCCCAACGATCT